ATGTTATATTTCTTGTATTCTTAATAGTGCATTTAGGCCTCCATGGGGCCTGCCTATACCACTGGCTTCCTACCTAGTGGATATCCTTGCTCTTTTCACTTTTCAGGTTCTCTCTGCTCTTCCTGAGATGGACCAGAAATAAGGCAGAGGAAACTCCGGTCTGTTCCACTTTGCTCAGATTGAGAACTGGCCAGTGAGCATCACTCAGGCATCCCTTTTGGTCCTTGAAGACAAACTGAGTAGCACAGCTTTAACTTGAGGAAAGGGACTGGGAGCCTCATGAAACTTCCTGTGCATGTATGCATGTGTATGGACAAAGCTGCATCCATCCAACACATGATAAGGACATCTTCATGTTAGTCTCTTTAGGTGGAAGCCTAACAAGTGTAGACAGACAAAACAAAATTTGCTCTTATTTTCCCTAACAGTTAAAATAATAGGAATGTCTTATCTAACATATCTAATCACTGTTAATACTTTCCTGTGGGCTTGGAAGTGTACAGACTGTAGACCAAGAGATGATTATAAATGACCTTCAAATGCCCATCTTTTTTCATGACAGATCAGCCATTCTTTGATTGGGTAGTTTTTGTCCTATGTGCTCCAGCAAATGCATGAAAACTTGAATATTAAGTCACATTTGCCCTGTGTTTTATCTTCATTCTCACTAAACTCCTTTTAGCAGAGGTTCCTACAGCTTTGGCAAATGCTCGAGCAACTGGTTAATGGTCTATGAAACATAAATGCACCAGGGAACACCACTCCTCTGAATCCTTTTGCTAAGCAAAGGATCTTAATCTACATGTCATAAGAGTTGAGCTTTCTCCCTTTGCATTTTTAAAAAGCAGAGCCCATTTACTGTGTAACAGTTTGGAGTAGGGATAAACATGAGCAGAGACAAGTGAGTCCCTCCTGATACAAGGGCTCATTGTTCCTTTGGGAAGAGCAGATGACTTAGGCCAAGCCTCCACCTAGCCCAGGACTTACTTATCCTTGAAGGAAACAACTCAGCCGGAAGCTTCTTGTGCCTGGGCTCACACTCTGACCAGTCTCCCTTTCTTGTCTCCATGTCCTGTAATTCTTTGCCTACAGGTCTGATTTCTAAGTAGTAGTAGATGGACATGTGGTTGTTATTTCTACCTATGTACCAAAAAAGTCTTAACAATTTGGGTGAAGGACATAAAAACTATTTCAAGATTGAATTTTCATTTAAAAATGGTTGTGCATAAAAATGTCCTTGAGAAATAGTGACTCCTGTGAACTTGCAGACATGCTACGGGTTTTCCCCCTAAAATGCTAGTGTTCCTAAACCATTAGCTGTTATAGACTTTGACTATTCATTTTCAACAGCTGTATTTAAACCACAGAGCACAACCCTAAGAAGCAGAGACACAATCATAGCCAACAACAAAAATCCAAAAGAAAGAAAATAAAAATCCCAAAGCCAGGATAATTGAGGATTAGCACAGGAACACTGAGCTTCACCTTTTGTGCCAGGCACCTCAGGTCTCTGGTGATCTCCAGGGGTATGAGAAAGGCTTTGTGATCAGCCAATGACATCAGCCTGAATGTTGAAGAAAACCTTTTGTCCTCAGGTTGATGTTTGAAGTCCTGGGCACTGGGACTGGCACCTAGTCAAAGCACAGCACAGATCGATTGACTGGAAAAAGTAAATGAATTAAGTTTAATGAGAACCCAAGGGAGGAAATGAGCCACTCCACTTGCCAACGTTTGCACAAGAGAAGCTTGAACTGGACCTGAAAGGATTATCCCTGCACACAGAAGCAATGGAGTCTCCTGCGCTGAGCACTGCCCTGCAGCCTGTGGCAGCATTGCCTGGGTCTGATGCACAGGCTGCTATGAAACCATGCTGCAGGCAGAGCTGGACAGGTGCATGGGGAATGTGGGTGTGCCTTGGAGAGGTCTCAGGGATCTTGATAAGACTTGCATTTAGAAGGCTGATTTGTGGAGCCATGAGGAAAGTGAGTCTGATCATCAGGGACAGAGAGACTGGCCAGGAGGAAACAGCGGCCCAGAAGCCCTCCCTAACCCCACGGGTCCCATGCAGTCCTTTTTCGGCAATATAAGTCTTTTAGAAATGTTGGGGGACTGTTTTTTGTGGGATTTTTTTTCCAGTTCTCTCTTCTATTGCTGAATGGCATGGCTAGGCTCTGATCTTTCTGTTTCTTTTACATAAAGAGCTCTCCAAATATCTAATAAAAGCAGTTGGAGGTTGAGTTTCATTCTTAACCTTTAGTTTTCTGTGTCTGTTGAATGCTAGTTTTCTATTCACTTTGTACAAATGTTCAACATTTCAAAAATTCTACTTTGGAACTTGGAGATCAATAGAGACTGTAGTAAGGAGTGCCAGCAAAGATTCACTTTTTCAAATCATTGCTACTCAGGCTTTTTAAATAGTTCTAGTGCTGGAAGTTTGTCATTCCTGCATTTTAAAATATTTGCCTTTGCAATCCAGCATCAAAATTTTTCTGATTAAATTGACATGAATGCTTGATTGGGTTCATATCTTTTTTTTTCTTTTGATACTAGAGGTCAAAGTCACGACCTCGCACTTGGCCAGGCAAGCGCTTATGCCACTGAGCTAAATCCCCAGCCTAAGTTTATATCTTTTTAAACCTATATCTGACATTTTAAGTTTTCTACCCATATTTGCAAGAGCAAAATAGATGCAGTGAGTTTCATCCCTAAATTAAGACTACTGAGGCACCAGATAGTTATTAATTTGGGGTCCATTAGTAGGCACCCACAGAAATCTACCTTCTCGTTGGTATGCCCAAAGCCAAGTCACTACCCTCTAGGGCTTTGGGAAGCGTCTCTTTTCTCCTTAGTACAGAGCAGACTGAGAAGCCCTCCTCTTTTCTCAGCATACACACTGTTGGAGCTTGGTGCTGTTCCAGATACCACTGAGTTTAGCACCATTTGATAGGGCAGCCAGCAGTGTTCCAGGAAGGTGGGGCACATGCCAAGGAAGGGTGTCCTGCTTGGTAAGGCCACCCAGATCCCTAGGGATGGCTCCACAGCTATTCAGTGGTGTGAAGCGGGAGGGCTGGCCCCCAGGGAGAGCTTGACTATTTCCATTCCCTGCCCTCCTGCCGAGTTCTTGAGCTCTCCTTTTCTGAGCATTAATTTTTCCATGAATTGTAAATAACCCAAAGCAGCTCTAAATGCTCTACTCACCACTAGGATTGGTATTTTTACTAGGTACAAAGCCTTAGGCAAAGGGTCTAGGTCAGATTTTTGGCCTCTCAGAACCTCTTACAGAAGATTGGGTGCCATTCGTAGCGACATACTTGCTGGAGCTCTGGCAGGTCACAAGTAGTGAGTTGTGGATTCTGTCAATGAGAGAGCAGCCTGCTTGGGGACAGAAGGGTGCAGCCCTCTGTATGCGACTTGCCCTTCTAAACCAGTGTGAAAAGACCAAGGTCATGACCCCTTCAGGTGAGCTCCACTGTATTCTGTGAGTTTAGCTCTTTATCATATGAACAAGTGTGCTTAAATGCCTAATAAAGAGGCACTGTGTGGACAGTGTATGGATTAGGGGATCAAGGTTCTCAAACTTTGAAGTGCTGAATCATTGATGAATCTCAGTAAAATGTAGATCCTGACTGCGTGAGTTGGGTCCACTAGACCTGCTTTTCTAAGAAGCTGTCAGGTGACAAGGAAGCTACATGGTCTACACCGGGATCCACAAGCCCCACACCAGTAATTCTCAGCTTCGGGTACAGATTAGCATATCTGGCAGCTTTTGATGCCTAATTGCACCCCCACACCAATGAAATCAGAATGCTGAGGGCAAGACCAAGGTATCAGTAGTTATGGTCTCTCTGCCCAGGTTGAGTTTGTGTGAAGGGCCTGAGTGGACATTGAGACTCATTCCTAGCACTTTAGAAATCAACTAAGAGTTTGTTGCAGCTGTCACAATCTATGCTTTATGTGTGGGAATTAAAATGAGCAATAAACTAAGTCAATGTTTCCAGCTCCAAAGTTTTTAAGGACTGATCCAGCCACCAGAGTCCGCACGCTTATGTTTACCACCCACAGACTCTCAGCCCTCACAATGCCCTTGCTATTTGCCATCCTCTAGCAGCTCTGTTCTTGATTCCTCCAAATTCTGGGCAGGTGGAATGGGGCTGCAGCATATTCCAAGCACCCATTGGAGTCAGTATGTTAGGGCAGTTTTAAAAGCTCCTAACCTGAGATCAAGGATGAAAAGAATGAGATGAATTGTTAAAAATAGGTATATTTGTATTTGCTTCAATATTTTTAAAACTAAAAAAGCTGCTGGTCAGATGATAAAATGTAGAAATGATTTTTTTAATATGCACTTGATGATTTTTATTAGTTTTAAGATACATATTCTTACCTCCAGTCCCACATTTCTGAGGAGGCTAATGGGTATATGAGACCTCTGAGCCATATTTGCAGAATATCATCCTACAATTAACTGGAACACTGCCTTAATTAGGGCACAGTCAGGTGCTATAACAAATAAAACCCAAACCTTCAGGGACTTGACACAGTAAGAGATTGATAGGCAGGTGCCCAGGTAAATGTCACAGTTCTTTTCAGTCATTCCAGGATCCCCAGCTGGTGTATCCTATGCTCCATACACACAAGTGGAGGGAAGGAATTAGGTAGGGGATTCTTGGAGTCCTCTCCAGGTGAGCACATGTGTTCACATGTCAATGGCCAGAGCTTTCACATGGGCCCTGACCTTGTTTGGACATGTAGCTGCAGTCCCCTATTGCCTTGCAGTTACACAGCAACAATGCAGAGCCCTCATTGGCAGTACGCATGCAGGCGACAGCCAGTGTGGGACAGGCAGCCTGTAGTGGCATGCACATAGAACATCAGGGGTCAGGTGGGCTCCCAGACAGGTGTGGCAGCTGCAGACTCCAGACTGAGCCCATGGGGATGACCATGTGGCCACAAAGCTGGTGTTAGGATCTGAATGGCCTGTGTTCTCTTTTTCTCTCCAGATATCGCAAATGGTACCAGTTCAGGGGGGTACCGCCCACCTCCCAGAACCAAAGAAGTCATCATCAATGGCCAGACAGTGAAACTTAAGTACTGTTTCACCTGCAAGATTTTCCGGCCCCCTCGCGCCTCCCACTGCAGCCTGTGCGATAACTGCGTAGGTGAGTAGGATCTCAGCCCTGGAGAGCAGGTAATGGATTGGCTCTGACTAAGCTTTGTACTATGGAATCAGTGTACCGCTCTTTAATCCTACAATTGCAAGATACAACAATGGTTAGTATTTCTGTATGCTTGCTTGTTGCCACTGATCCCTTTCCTAAACCCAGAGATACCATTCTGTCTTCTAGTTCTTGGATATATCCTGCAATGTGCGAGGCCTTCTCCCTCACCAGGGTGAAGGGTCCTTTGTACTGAGGGTGTCAAATCAGAAGCCATGTAAAATAAAACCATACCCATAGATCCTTACATTGCCTGGCAATGGCATCCCCAGGCACAGCCATTCTCTCGACTCTTCAAAGGGATCTTGGTGCCTCTGGAGGCTTTGGATTCAAAGAAGAGGAAAAGAGACAGAGTCAAGAGACTGCTTCTTCTGGAGACTAGAATTCAAATCTTTGTTCTACTCAGAGACCACCAGAACTTCTGCTCTCTGCTAGCTTTCTCCAGGACAGAAGGAAATACACAGAGAGGAGAGAGAGCACAAAAGTTCTCAGTAGTAAGACTTAGTCTTACTGTTGACACACATGGGACTTCTCTAACAGATGTGGGTTGGTCCCAGACTCCCAGGAGCAAGGCAGCAAATGCTTCCTGTTCCACAGACTGAGAGCCACTGCCGCATGCACAGGCCAAGCATCCTCCCCAGACTGGAGCCCCTTGGCTGGCTTCTAGTAGAAGTGACCAAAGATATTCCTAGATGAATAGACATGAAATCCTCTGCTAGTGGACACCTAAAGGGTTAGGAATACACCTCTAGAACAAAACCAGATTTCCTTAGAACCATCTTATAGATTGCCAACTCTTTCCTTGAGTATGAGAATTTGAAGTCTCAATCCTTTTTGGGAAAAATAAAAGTTTATAACATACTCCCTGGTCTGCTAGGTGGACTTTGATTTGCCATAAATTATTTTAGCCTAAACTTAATAATCCAGTTTGGTACAAGGGCCATGTTTTCCCTAACAAGTTTTGCCTTGGTTTTATTAACTTAAATTGCTTTTAGTTTTTTCCTCCCCAATGGAGCAGCATGGAATCATGTTCCATCTCTCCCACTTAATAAGGAGCCTCAGGTTAAAAGCCTGAGATGTGCCATTGCATGGCCTTGGTGTCAAATGCTCATTGTGTGACTTAGACAAGCTACTTAAATTCTATGTCTCAGTTTACCTCATCTCCACTGCAGAGTTGATAGCAATGTCTACCTTGTAGGATGGCTGACAGACTAAAGAAGTAAAGCACTTGAAATACTGCCTGGCTTATAGCAAATGATCGCTAATTGTTAGCTACTACTGTCATTACTCATGTTATCTTGATGTCTTTGAATGGCTTTTTGTGGACAGTTCCTTTCTATACACTAGCCCTCAACATGTGTAATGAGCTAAACTACAGCTAGTCCCCCATTTGGGGACCAGATTTCTGCAAAGACATTTGACAGATTTGGTTTCATTTGGTGACTTTTATGGCAACACCAGCCTCTGTAACAAAACCATACCCATCTTGAGGACACTTTTAAGCAGAACAGTGGCTTAAATATCTTCAGGGGAACAATCTGTAAAAATTCTCAAAGCCCTTTCGTGGGCTGTCATTTTGAGCTCCAAGGCTCTTATAAGATGGACTAGTACACTTATTCACATGAACTCCTCTGTTACTTTGCCCGTGTTGACCTAATGACATATTCTAGTCTACATTTTGATAAATAAGGAGTTGCTATCTACTGGCCTGAAGTGTTGACTATGTACATCCTTTCTTTATCATTTGTAAAACATTTTATTCACTTCTAAACACCCCTGTTTCCATTTATTCATTTTCATCAGTTGATCCCAATCCTCTGTTTCCTGTCTCTAGGCTAGATTCCTAATCATAATACAAAAAAACTTTCCTTCCTCTATTATGGTACCTTATTGTTTAAAAATTCCCCTTGGATTATTGTCAAATACTTTTGAAAACTCACACAATTGCTCACAATTTGTTCCCACCATCACCCATAAGTGTGTGACTATTAAAGAATTCTAATGAATTGGATGTAAGATCTCTTTACCAAAATTATATATACTTTCTCTATTTGCTGGTGAACTTCTGATATAGTGAGCCTGTTTAAGGTGCTGCCCTCACATACAAAATGTAATAGCCATGAGTCTAGAATATCCAAGAGTCAGATGAGGACATTTCAGACAAACTGAAGTTACAAGGGCAACCCAGCCTCCCTCAAGAAGCATGTTGCTCATAGATTTTTCAAAAATGCATACAGTTATTCAGACCTACATAGCTTTGGCTTTCCAGTTAATTACATGACACTTGGGCCTCTGGCATGACTGATGAACAGGCAGGCAAATTGGACTTCTGCATTCAGAAAAATAGAGTGGAAAGCAGATGTCTCCCTCGGTGAAAGTAATTGCAGAGTTTGCCACTAGATTATTTTTAGATAGAAAGTTTTTACTGAAAGACTGATTTTTTTTTTTTTGCAGCAAGGGAAAAGTACAATGATGTGCTAAAAGCCAACATTAGAATATGTGGTTTTCTTTCCCTTGTAGAAATGACTTTGAGATAGCAAATCCCAGACACAATCAATAAATGTTTTGTTTGTCTCTTTGTCTGTTTGTTTTGAAGAGGAAAATATAATTTTCTAGGTGCCTTGGCAGAGTATTTTTCTTTATTAAATAAGTTTGAAACAAGAGGCTAGTCATAGCTGTATGTTTTTGTTTTACTTTTGAGGAAGGAATTTTCTTGGGAAGAAAATGCTGGTACAAACAGAACCAGTTGGCAGAGCGCCAATCCTGTCATCAAATAATCTGAAACCTGCAATTAACCTGAATATGCCATCTATTTCTACTTCTGTGAAATGGGGTGATCCTAGTGCTACCTCCTAGGTTGCTTTTAAGGATAAATGACATCATAGCCAACAAAACACCTAATACAGACAATGGCAAACTGTATTAGTCAGTTTCCCATCATTAAAATGAAGTACTGGATACTTCCAACTTAGAGGAGAGATTTGTTTTGATTCACACCTTCAGAGGGTTCAGTCTATGGTTGGCTGGCTACAAGACAGAAAAGGCATGGAGAAGAGCACAAGGAGGGACAGTTACTCAGCCTATAGCTGCCAGAGAGCAGAGAGAGAAAGGAGAAACCAGGGACAAGAATATATCATTTCAGCTCATCCCCTGTGACCCTTCTCTTGTGAGCATGCCCCATTTTACAACAACATATTCAACTATGAACTCACCATTGGATTAACCTTCCAGTAAGTATAGCACTCCTATGACTTAATCACTTTTCAAAAACACCTCTGAACGCATGATACTTTGGTGGGGGGACATTTGGAATCTAACCTATCACACAAACACTAAGGGATCAGTAAGTGTTCTTCTGATCAGTAAAGGCTGGAAATGCAGTCATTAGTGCTCCAAATAACTGACTGAAATAAGACTCATCATCACAAATGCATAGTAATCACCTTGTTTTTGCTGAAGGATTTAGATGGTGTGCAGTAATAGAAGTGGATATATTCTCTTTGTCTCTCTGCCTTGGTCTCCATTTAGTTCCATTTCTGTCAGTCTCTTTCTCTGAAGCTACTGTGTCTATCTCTCTATCCCAGTTTTGCCATCAGATCACTTCTGCACATTTGGAACAGTACTTGGGATTGCTCATTCATCCAGGCAGGCATTGAGCTTTTAAAATACTGTTAAACAATCAGCAACTGGGACCAGGAATCCCTCTGCTCTCTCAGAGCCTCACATTCTTAGATCATTAGGATAAGGGTAACACAAGGAGCAAAACATGGGTTTGTGAGACCTCAAACTGACCGCAAACATCCAACTGCCTAAAGTATGTGCTCTCTCCCTAACCAGATAGGCCCTGAAGGGCAGTCTGTCCCTTAGTGGACCCTCGTCCAGTGTCACAATGGCCAGCAGTTCTCACAGGAATCATTTTTTTTTATGTTGTTTTGGTTTTTCTTGCAGTAATGAGGGTTTAACCTGAGGCCTTCGAACTGAGCTACATTCCCATTCATTTTTTATTTTGAAAGAAAGTTATTAAGTCACTCAAGTTGTCCAGGCTGGACTCAACCTTTTGATCTTCCTGCCTTAGCCTCCAGGTGCTGGAACTAGGGTTGAATGCCACCATACCTGGTTTGGAATTGATATTTTTAGTACCACCTAAACCTGTATTACAGGAACTTACTTGAAATTAATTTAATTTCATGCTGTAGACAAATTAATTAGAAAGCATTTGCAAACCAACTATACTAGAGCCTATCTAAATTTGATGAGACAGAAACAGATTCTCTGAAAGCCATAGCTTCCTGAGACCCAGCCTGCTGTCCTTCCTGGGCATAGGCTCCTCTCACACCTGGGGATCTGGAGGTGGGTGGGGGTGTGCAGGACAAGAAGGTAGCACAGGACGCCCTCGGATTGTGTTGCACCTGGGGATCCCTGAGCAGTGCCTCACAGCCCCAGCTTCCCTCACAGAGTGAGCTCTGATCCTGCTGTCTTCTATAATCCCTATCACTTCTAGTTTGGGTGGTGAGAACCTCTCAAACCCTAACCCTCTGCAGAGATTCAATTCCAACTGTTGCTGGGTTTAGTGGGGCTTTACCACCCTCTTTAAAAATCCCTGTGAGTCCTCCTCTCCTTACCATTTTGCGCTCTCTGGCTGTACTTTCTGTCCCAGACCCTTAACTATGTTCCCTCTTGTGTCTCTCAGTGTCCCCTCCCACAGCTCCTCTGTGACTTGAGTGTCTGAGTCTGAACTGCCGATTCCTGGTGTTGTGCTCTGCTGTGTCCTCAGAACCCAGTTTCTACTTAACACTCATAACCAAGATTAAGAAGTTTGAAGTGGCTGAGATTTAGCATTGCAACTATCTTCTAATACAGGGTAGCATCCTGGAATTTCTGCTGAACTAGTTGGGGGCTGATGAGAGGACTCATAATTTCCCATAGGAAACTATATCATTTGA